TTTTAGCAAATCAAATAAGAATTTATTTTTCACAGCAAAAGAAAAAAGCCCAACACAAACCAAACCAAAAATATCTCTGCTTAAATTTTTGCTTCAACTGCCTAAAAAATAAAATCCTATGAAACAATAATACGCCTCTTGTGACCTGCTGCTAAGATGATAATGGTATTTGAAGCACTAGTTTTGTGAACAGAGCTCTCCTAGACAATGTGGCATTGGTTCATTGTAATTTCATCTTGTGTTAAAAACTTAACTCTTGGGAGAGCCTCAGGCACATCATGGTCACATAACACAAGTAAATTTTTTGTATGCAATTATGCTACGCAAAGGTACAGAGCAAACCACACATAAATCTGCCTCATTATAGCTATTTGCTATCTTTATAGTAATTTTAAGATGCCATCTCAAACTCTTACTCTATGTACCTATGCTTTAATATTTCTTTGAAGTATCATATAACATTGCTGAAAAGACAGCAATATAAAGCAAAAATGTTAGAAAAAGCAAAAGTCTCCTGCAGTTTTTCCTTGTCCCTAAACACAATCATGAGTCCTGTAAGATCAGGGCTCTGTGCCCCTGGGGACAACAATTGTGGATAAAGTGAGAAATAGTGTGTTTACTCCTTCTTGTGACATTCTTTATGTGGCTTTTAATACAAACCACACCATTTAGGAGTAACAAAAGCACAGAGACCTGCACAATGACTGTTATCTCTGCTGTGTGTTTTTCCACATATGCAGTGAACTAAAAAATCTCAGTCCCTCACCAACACTTTAAAATGGTAAAGCAGCTGTCTTTCTAAGGAATAGGCACATACCTTTGCTTCCTGTGTAGAGGAAGATAGCCTTCAGGGGGAATTCATGGAGGTATTTAGTTCCTGTGCAGAGAATATCTGCTTAAACGTAATGCAATAAAAAGTATGTTAGCTTTGCAAAAGCAAACGTTCTGTCTGTGATATGCCTTAAAACAAGTGTGTCTCAGCAATCTAACAGGTACTTCTGGGTATGGACAAGCCAGATACAAAAATTTTTCTACGTCTGATTGAGATAGAATCAATAAAGATAGATATTTACAAAGTCTGCAGCTGAATTCAAGGTGCTATGAGTCCATTAGACAAAGGGTATTTTGGACAGGAACAGCAAATATGTTAACAAGGCACCTGGACAATTTGAAGTCCGGGCTTTGCTTACAGATGGCTCCTTCTGGAAAGGGTGACAGAACGCAGCCCATGATGGGTTACATTACTGAGTATCTGCAAATAGAGAGATATCTCCAAGAAAGCCTACCATCTGTATTGTCTAGGGAAGAGTATTCTATGGATTAAAAAACAAACAAACAAGCAAAACAAGAGCAGGTGCCCTGTTACTGCATTTATCTTCCTTCACTTTTCAGGCACAAGAAACTGTATTTTTTTCTAAATGATTGTAGAACTTTCAGCCGTCAACTATTTCTTTCCTAACAGGTATTTACAGACTCTAAGCTACCCTTGTCTTTCTGTTTGTTAAACTAGCACATTTAACTGAAGATTATGTACAAAATCACAATACAAACTGTGTTTCTGAACACACCTGCTACTAAAAATATATATATGAAATACACAGGGAAACTTGTCCCAGCTTCATCTAATCTGACACCTTCCTTACTGCCCTGTACTATATACTAAGGTGTCTAACAAAAACACCTACTCTGAGATCATTCATATGCTTAAAAGACCTGTAGATTATATGAGCTCACTATTTCTGGATAGGTTTGGGTATCATATACACATGTGAAAACGCTATAATTGCACTGAGCTCCCCAGTGCTTCTATCATTTGCAGTTTTTTACTGAATAAGTAACATTTTTAGGATATACATTAAAAAATGTCTCATATTACCTATTGTGCTGGTTTAAGAGTTAACCAGCAGGGGAAATGAACTCAACTCAAGGAGAGATTATAAGTCAGAATAACAATTTACTAAAATAATACAGTAAGTACAATCATACAAACAAACAATTGGTCTTAACCCACAAAACCCAAATGTATAACCCAGTACCCTGGGGCATGAACAAAGTGGTGTTCCTTGGGCCCCACTTGAGTCCAAAGTAAAGGGAGAGGGGAAGAACCTGCTGGTGGGAGAGCTGTTGCAGTCTGGTCAAAAGTGGTGATTGCAGTCCAGTGATGGTCTAAGTCTGGTTGAGAGCGATGAGCTGCAGTCTTCCTCTGGATCCCACGAGGGGTTGAAAAATGTTCTAAGACTCCAAGATTATATATCCTCCAGTTCAGGCAGAAATGCTCAGTGCTTCCCTCAGGGCGGGGAGTTCCACAAAGGGTGTGAGGACAAGAGCATCCTCCTATCTCACAGGCCTCTTAACACCTAGTTTATAGCCTGAGGAGTCAGCTCTATGGGCAGAGGGTGGGAATAGTCTATTAACAACAGTTTCTGGGAAATGGCATGGAAGGCTATAGAATACACAGTTTTGGGTTACACCCATGCCATGATGAACTGGTCTCAGTTGTCCTAACTAGGACACCTATATTACACATTTGTTGTTTAGTTTAGTTCTTATTACGGCTACTTTAAAGTCCTGTCAAAAGAATTATATTTTTTACACAGTTCAACATTATTTTCTCCTGTTAAAGACTGAAGTTGAAATATGTATCAAACCATTGTCAAACAGACATTTACTGCAGTCTCTTTACGTTCCTGTTCTTTCTCATAGTTGTTCCCAGTCTTGTGAAAACAACGCTTTTAAACGGCAAATGCGTGCTGGTGTGCGATCAAGTTCATGTGAAGAATAAATATGCATACTTTCTCTCTCTCTCTCTAGATATAATATATGAACAAGTCATGATCATTCAAACTTAATAACTTTTCAGCTCTCTGATCCATTTCAGGACCTCCTCGGGTTTTTTTATCAAAGAAAGTGTGTTTAGCAATGTTTAGGAGTTGTACTATCAGTAAACCCTCTTCAGTGGATATAAAGGTGTCAGATAAACTGAAAGAAAGTATCTTCAGTTCCACTATTAACTGTTCTCTGCATTTCATCTTATACAACCAATATCGTAATCAGACATATAATACTTGCCAGTTAGTGGCCAAGATAATCACAGGGACAAAAAGATAAAAAAGGAGGACAGTGAGAACTATTGACCAGCCAGCCTTCCATGCCCAGTAGGAACATGGAACAGATCCTGCTTGAAGACATGCCTAAACATATGAAAGACAGAGAGGTGATTAGAGACAGCCAACGTGGCTTCACCAATGGAAAATCAAGCCTGAATAATCTAGTGGCCCTCTACAATAGAGTGACTGCATCAGTGGACAAGGAAAGAGCTACGGGTCTCATCTGCCTAGACTTCTGCTACAGTTTCCCTCAGCACCCCGACCACTAAATTGGAGAGAGATGGGTTTGAGAGATGTACTGTTAGGTGAATAAGGAACTGGCTGGCTGGATGCATACAAAGAGTTATAGTCAATGGCTCAATGTCCAAGTGAAAATGGATAACCAGTAGTGTTTCTCAAGGTCTGTGCTGGGATCAATACTAATATCTTCATCAACAACATAAACAGTGGGATTGAGAGCACCCTCAGCAAGTTTGCAGGCAACATCAAGCTGAATGGTGAAGTTGATTTCCTAGAGGGAAAGAATGTCATCCAGGAGGATCTTGACAGGCTTGAAGAGTGATCCCATGTGAACCTCATGAGATGAGACCTTCAACAAGGCCAAGTGTAAGGTTCTGCACATAGGTCAGGGCAATCTCCGGTATCAATACAGGTTGAGGGGTGAATGAATTGAGAGCAGGCCTACAGAGAAGGACTTGAGGGCTTTGGTCGATAAGAGAGTGGGCATGACCTGGCAATGTGCACTTGCAGCTCAGAAAGCGAGTTGTACCCTGGGCTGCATCAAAAGCACCATGGCTTGCAGGTCAGTGGAGCTGATTTTTCGCTGTTCTTGTGAAGCCCCACTTGGAGTACTGCATGTATGTTTGGGGCCCACAGGAAAGACATGGATCTTTTAGAGTGGGTCCAGAGGAGAACCATAAAAATGGTCAGAAGCCTGGAACACTTCTTCTATGAGGAAAGGCTGAGAGAGGTGAGGTTTTCCAGTTTGGAGAAGACAAGGCTCTGGGATACTCTATTGCAGCCTTTAAATGTATACAGGGGGCTTAAAGAAAGACAGAGAAAGATTTTTTACCAAGGCCTGTAGTGACAGGATAAGGGAAATGGGTTTAAATTGAGAAATGGTAACTTTAGATTGAACATAAGAATACATTTTTCTATGATGAGGGTAATGAAGCACTAGAACAGGTTGCCCAGAGAAGATACTGATGTCCTGTCATTGAAAATATTCAAGACCAAACTGGATGGTGCTTTGAACAATCTGGTCTACTGAAAGATGTCCCTGCTGATTGCAGTGTAAGTTGGACTAGATGATTTGGAAAGGTCTCTTCCAACCCAAACCATTCTATGACTTTGTGAAGATACCTTCACAGCGTTAAACACCTATCTGTTTTTTCTGTTATCTATTGGTATATCAGCCTTTGCCAGTTGCTCTCTCTCTATGACAAAAAGTTCATTTCTCTTAGATAAATAGTCATGCAAGTCATACAAACTGCCTTTTGAGCTTCATTCAGAACAAATCTGTTCCTCAAATACATACGTTTTCATGTGTTAAAACATTGGTGTAGAACAAATCAAATATTCTATTTCTTCAGGCAGTGAAATATCAGATTTTTCCTTTAGCCATATCTCATAGCTTTTGCAACAGAAGTGTTTTATAGAAACATGGTTCATTGCTACTGTAAAAATTGAATCAGTTTAAATACAAAACAACAAAACATTAGCAAGCAACAAAACTAATCACTATCATATTGTGAAAGTATTGCTAGCTTCAAGCAAATTCCTAACATCCAGTGATTCTGATCATTAGCAAGCTGCTGTATGTATTTCCATTGAAGTTTCTCTCCACTTCAGAACTAATAAACTACACCGATTCTATTTTTCAATTTATTTCAGGACATGCTGCACTGTCAGATTTATCAGGGCAGGATCATCCTCTCATTGGACACACTGCTTGAACAACCAGGGCAAGCCTGTGATGGTGTAAAGTAATTTCCACAGAACTGTATCAACTCACACCAGCTGAGGTTTGGTCCTTGTACACTGTTATCAGCAGGTAGGTCCCAACACTCCAACAGCTCTTTTGAAAATCTGAAAAGTTAAAGATTCCTCCTGATATAGAATTGACACTTAGATATGCTTAGATCTTTCATGAAGCTAGTTTTGATCCATCTAGAAAGGAGTAGGTTTTATTGCTTATATATGGGTGAGATTATATAGTCTAACTCATATTTTATTGACTTCTTTGGATTCATAATTTGTCAAACTAAAAGCAAGGAGGGTGGTGGTTACTCCCCAGATTCCAAAATTTCAAGGAAAGTGTTAGGACAGATAGTTATAGGCGTACCATTCGCAGAATGGATAACTCTGAAAAGATTGTCTAGCTCTGAATTTCTTTTCCCATGTCATCTCCAGAGAAAAAGAAAATGAAAATGAAAGTGAAATTGAAAACTAAAATGAAAATGAAGACACACGCACCCCTGAACATGACAGTCATGAACTTCAGTTATGGTTTCTTTGGTTTGGTTTGGTTTTGGTTGTGTTTCTTTAAGATTGTGTTATTTCTAAAAGTGACACAATTAAAAATCCTTCTATAACTCTCAGGAAAATAAATTTTAAAAAAATATCTTGCAAGGCTTTCTTCTTGACTTTTTCATAGAAATTTCAGGTAAGTGCAAAGCAGTTTAGATGGTTAGTCAAATAGAATTAAATTTTAGATAATATAAGGGTTGACAGCATTTTCTTTTAAAAGACTTAAAGAAAAATTTTAACATAAGGTAGATTACTCTAGAGAAATCAGTCCTGAACTTTTTTTCCTGTTTCAACAGTAAATTTTCAATACATGAATTAATCACAGAATCATAGAAAGTCTTGCATTGGAAGGGACCTTAAAGTTCATCCAATTCCAACCCCCCCAATTTACATAACATTTACACCTACATATCTATATTTGCAACACATATGTGTCCTGATACTTCTTTTTTCTTAAAAACTCCAATAAATATTTTACTGGGAAGTAAGAACACATTTTCAAATGAAAGGTAACCAAAAAACTTAATTTTAAAAGTAGAACCCTTTTCTTTTGGAAATATCTGAAAAAATCAACATCAAGGAGTACAAGAAAAAAAAAAAAAGAGAATCCTTACTGCATGGAATCCTTACTGCCTCTTGTTTTTATTCCAAATAATGATGGAAAACATGAAAGTTTCCCAAAATTGTTCTCTAACATCTCATTTCATTGCTTCCTATAAAGGCTAAGTCAGCTCTTTAGGAACTGAAATGATAACTTTGGTTGTTCAGTTGTCTGCTTAAACTTAAGAAAAAAAATCATTGAACTTCACCTGTCATTAAACTCTTCTCCAATAAATTGTTATCTCCTCAACTTTTGTTCTCCTGTGAAGTCTATAGCACATAATGCTGCCCCTGTGCCAGGCTCGTGAGCCAAACTCATGACCTGTGACACGACATCAGTTGAGCACAAGGGAAGAGTGAGGCACCCACCTGGCAAAGGATGTGGCCAGACCTGCAGCGAAGAGACGATCCACCCAAACCACAAAGGACCAGCAGTTCAGTCAAGAAGAAATTCTATGTGATCTCAGAGGGAATGTTGCGATTTGGTTTAAGAAAATGAAAGGGTTTTTGAGTCTAAACATCCTCCAATGCAGTATTTTATTTTTTCCACAGAAAATAATTTGGACAAAATCATGAATTGCCTGAGGTAGTTCTGAACTCTGTGTAAAATGTACAATCTCTTTAGGCAATATTGGATAAAAAATTACCATATCAGTTTGAACTAATAGAAAATGGATTAAAAAAAGAGTTTTCTTTTGACATTTGATATTTTTCAGTTGGCCCACAGAGTACTCTCAACATCTTCATTTACCTATTCACAAGCATATGCTAGAGGAACTACACTTTAGATTTTTGTGGATACATTTCCAAAGCTGGTATTTTAGTCTCCTTTACTTTCATACCAAAAGGAGTAGTGTTTAAAAGAAACTTATTCTAAAAGGCAAGCACTATATAAGAATTTTGATCAAGAAACCCAATGATTTTATAGCTGTAAGGAAGACAGCAATCCCAGGGTGTTACAGGAAAGGCATCTGTCATATAATGTTGAAATGCTGAAACAAGATGTTTTAAGAAGTTTAGCATGTGTCTCTGTGTACATGTGGGAGGGAGAGGACACTATGTGTAACAGCAAGTGTGTAGATAATTAGTAGATGATGATAATACAAGGGGAAAGAAAACCACAAAATGTTACTTAATACCCTCAGGCTTACATAAAAACCTAATAGATGCAAACTGCATGGGGTAAACAAAAGAAAAATTATTGTGTATGAAGGAATAATTGAAAGCTGCATTCATGCAAGCATATTGTTTTTCATTATTTATTGACAGAAAACCTGTAGATAAAACACCCACTAATCTTTGATGTCACAAACTCTGAGGCCCATAAAACCTGGATGTAAAGAGATTAATAAAGCGGTAGACAGAATCAAGGAGGATGTATAAATTGTCCTCAGTGTTCATTAGAAGTATAAATTTTGTAGAGATCTCATAAATTATACTAAATAATTCAGTTTTATTTAGCAAGTACTGCTGCATATTTTAGAGTGATACAGAATAGTAATAACAGACATTCCAGATTATAAAAAGGGTTCAATAATAATTGCTCTACCCTTGTTATCATCAGCAGTTATCATTCTGTGAAGGAAGTGGGACAGATACTTAGTCTGAAATAATTCTTAAGAGAGATCCTACATCACAAATCTTCTAGTTTTTAATAAAAGTTACAATGTTAGTGATTGACATCATGACAAAACTGATCTTGTCAAGTGAACATCAAAATCTCATAGAGAATAATAGGAAAGAAATTAACTAGTAAATATGGAAGAAAAAAAAAGAAAGAAAAAATAAATCTGAAGTTTTTGAGGAGTTTCTTATATTTGGTTAAAAAGTATTGTCTTTTGTTTTGCTCCTCATTCAGATATTTTTCACGGGTCACATGATAAAGCGGATCTCAGTTATCTGAACTTTAATTCAATATTCAACTATTCAATTTCATTCAATTTGAAGCTGAAGCATGGTTATATCTATAGCTGTGAATATTACAAATAGGATAGTTACTAGGCGTGAAACAAATCCACTGAGAAAATAGAAATGTTGCTTGTTTCAATCAAACAGTGGATATAAGGCCCATCCTGATCTGAATTGCCTGTTGCTACATGATTCCCGCAGATATTTCTATGCTAGTCTGATCAGTATCAAAATTTAAACAAAGTCCTGTGGTTTTGCAAAGTGTTACAGAGAAACTTTAGCTCCAAGGGCTGATACATCTCCCACCAAATCGTGACCAGTCCAACTTAACAGACTTTCTGGCTGTCAGTGCTTCCAGAGGAGCACAAAACAAAAGGAATGAGGATCTGGCTGTGTGTTTAATCCTGCGGGGACCTGAATAAATCTCTTCAACTCCTTTCAAGTCTTCAGAGGCTGGTAATCATTAGCATATAAATAATTATAGAACGAATACACCATCTTAGGCTTTAAAAACTCCTTTGACTTTTGTCTGTCATGCAGCACTTCAGGTGTTTCACATATATCCACTGGAGTCAGCAAAATTTATGACTTACATGGTTTGTATTTGTCACTATGCAGAGTATAGATTAGCAAAACAGATGTACAAAGCCTGGGACAAATCTGATTGTGCTGAATTTTACCACTAGCAGAAAGAAATCTGCATCTTGCTATGATTAAACTCAGCAGGAAGAGTCACAATAAATTGTGTTAAATCAAGCGTGACCTTACAAAGTCTTAATACAGATCAAACAAATTTAGAAATGATTTTTCATGGTTAGGCATACAAAATACCGAACAGACAGAAATGCAGGAAGAAAGACAAAAAAGCCTATTACAATACTGTGCCAGCATTTGAATTACTCAAATTTGTATTAACAGAGAAGTACATTAATGTTTGTTTATAAAGACAATTCTAGGGACCTTCCCCTGCTGAGTAAATGCCACTGGAAATATTTAAATCTGGAATTTTTTACAACTTGGACACATGCCTATCTTCTCAGTTAAGCGATAAAGCTAGAAAGGAAAAGGTAGAGAAGGTGTGAAAGGGCACAAATACTGCATTTTTCTCTAACACTGCTTGTTAGCATTGCAATATTCCTGTTGCCTCCTGTGTGTGCATGACAGACTGCTGTTGTAGGTGTGGAAGATAAAGAATGTGCATCCTGGCACATTTTACCTGTGATGTAGATACCCAGCTATGCAGTGCAGGAAAGGAAGAAAATAGCTGGACAAGCCCAGAAGTAATTTTTCAAAACTCTGAAGCTTTATTGGAATAAAAAATGTTAGTTACTGAATCTAGATTCAGTGAAAAGCAAGAAGAGAAATTTAAAATTTGTCTCTTAAAATTTATTGGAATAGTAAAGATTTTGTATGTCTGGGGCAGGTATAATACTTAATGTCTGTCTACTTAGTGATCATTCTAACGGAATTTTACTTGATATTTAGCAAAACAGAAAGATTAAAGGTGTGGCTACATATACAGCATGTTATTAGTTGTGTCTTTTTTCTTTTACTGGCTCTACTCAATAAAAAATGCAGAGGAATAAAATTAAATCTCACATAGAGGAAAAATTGGGCATTAATGTGCAAAGTATCTCATGGGTTTTATTGATGTGGGGTGCTAACTGCTTAAAAACCTACAGAACAGAATCCAGAGAATTAGATTTGGTGTGGACTTTGCAAACACTTATCAGTCGACATTTCTCATGTTGATTGTTCTGTTCACATTGCCAGGCTGTATAACTATCATAAATTACATCTGTGTTGCTTAATGTTAACTGAACTGTCAAAAGAGACATGGGTCTTCAGATGTGGAATTTCATTTATTCAAATCTCTGCCACATTCTTTTTTTTTGTGTTGGTATTAGCAAATTTTCTTTCTTGCTTACTTGCTTGATACTTAAGATAGGTACCTGAAATGTTGTCTTTTTTTAGAAAAAGTGTTTACTGACTATTGTATGGCAGTTTTTATTGAATCTTAAGCTATGTTTAAATCCCTAAGACTTTTTGTACCCCCTACTGTGAAAGCTTGTCGTTCTGAGTACTGGCATTAAGCAGAGAAACTGAGGGACATAATACAATGCTACTTCGGATCACCTCTGCAAATACTTTAGAATCTTGTATCTCTGTATTTTTGAAAAATACCGTGACATTACAGCTCTGTGGGAAATCATGAATGTAAATTACTTGATATATAAAAAGCAGTATATTATTTATTATATTTTCAAATAGCTTACTTCAAAGCAGAGAACATTAATAAACATCAAGGAATTTAAAGCGGTGGTGGTGGGAGAATGCAGAGAAGACTTATGCCTGTAGCTGAAATACAATTTTATTTCTCCTCAACTAACTAGTCTGCCAATGAAATACCAGGGCATTGCTGCCTCCCAATCAGTAGTAAATGTGTAAAAATTGATTGAATTATG